TGCTTTAATTGGCATAATATTGTTGGCGCATCCAATAACCGGCCCAAAACTCTCGCCCGATGCTTCATCTATCGTGAATCAAAAATACTGAAAATATAACAAAAAATAATGTCAAAGTATATGAATCTATCCACATAATAAATAAATCAAAAAATATAAATGTGCGTATAATTTAAGCATATAAAAATACATTAATAGATATGTAAAAGCATACACATTTTTCGATCTATCAATATTCAAGTGCATTTTAAGCTCAAGAGTTGCGTTCAATCAGGTAACAAGATGTCAAACCTCCGAATTATGTTAGTAAAGTCAAGACCGTCGTAGAAAAGATCCAGAATCGACTTTGCGGCGAAGACCAACGACTCGTGTTCTGTTAGTTGAAGTCAAACTGCTTCCTAATTACGTTAGTAAAGTTAAGACCGGCGTAAAGATAATACATGATCGACTTTGCGGTGAATACCAAAGATTCGTGTTCCGTTAATTCAAGTCAAACCAAGTCAAGAAGAAGAATAAGAGTACAAATAGAGATTGTAATTTGAAATTCCAACGAAAATATATTTCAATAGAATTCCAACGGCAATTCCAATGGATATTTTAATGCTATTATTTCCGTTGGAATTTTTTCACTGGATTCCAACAGAAATTCCAACAAAAATATTCCGTTGGAATGAATTTTCTATTGGAATTTCCGTTGGATTTTGACGATTCCAACAGTAGATTTTTCAACGGGGGTGAAAATAAAAATTCTAACGGAAATTGCCTATTCCAACGGAAATTCCTACGGTAAAAAGCCGTTGGAAATATAACCGTTGGAATCATCAAATTCCATCTAAAATTCCAATGGAAAACACATTTTAACGGAATATTTTCGTTCGAATTTCCGTTGGAATCATTCCAACGAAAGCTATACCATTGGAATATCCGTTGGAATTTTCATTGGAATATATTACCATAAGATTTTCCATTGATATCACAATTTTTTTGTAATGATAGAATTCATTTGAACCAAGAAAAATAATTTGTAAAATACCTTTCGTATTTATAAATTTCATACACGAAATTTGTTGTTACACATAGATTTTTTGAAATTCAAATATGCTTGTTTGGACCGTGTATGAAAAATTGAAATCTAAATATGCATGTTTGGACCGTGTATGAAAAATTCATAATTGAAAATAAGATACTGTATAGAATATAAATACTTGATAATGATTCAAAGTATTGAGTGAAAGTCCTCATTCACCAACAAATGAAACGTCCTTATCGATAGGTTCGATTTATAATAATGCAATCAATGTACCTAATTCAGTGTTAGATAGGGTTTAAGTTTGATTTTAGCGTAAATAATCAATAATTCAACAAATTGTCTCAAACGATGAAATTATGATAACTCTATATTGGAATTGGAGTCCCACAAAAAAATAACACTACCTTTAGGACAAACTGAAGTATATATGAAGACCATATCTATTTTAAACATAAGTAATATTTAAAAAAAAAAATTAAAACTTAAAGCAAAACTCCATTTTTTATTTTTTAAAAATTTAAGTATGAATTTTTATTAGCGCCAGTGTATACAGATATTGTACTCTACTAGTTAAGATATTGAAATCAAAATTAATTTGTTCCCTCCCTTTTGCTTTACCCAGTAGTAGAGAATTGATGATTTTTTACGAAATGATTAATTTTAATGTAGAGTAAAATTTGATTGATACGTATATCAAATCATTAATCACGATTAATTACTAATTAAATTTAGTGTATTAGTACTAAATAAATTCATACCTGAAAAACATAAAATAAATATGAGTCCAAACTTCTCTTTCACATTATAAACATTCACTTGAAAAAATGTTCAAGCAGTTTGATAAAATTAATGGATTAATATAATGAAACGCCAATAACAAATCCGATCAGCCTAAACACGTCTCTTAAATTAATTTTTTCCTCAACATAAAATTATTAAATGGGACCTACTCCAAATCAATTCAGGCACACTGTCATCAAATTTCCTTAATGATTTTCCAGCATTATTATGATTATTATGATTATTATTATCATTGATATCTATATCTATATGCATATAATTATTATTATTATTATTATTATTATCATCGATATCTATATCTATATGCATATAATAAGAAGAAGGTTAAATTATTTTCAGAAAGGTTTTCATGCTATAAATATTAATTACATACTAAAAATAGTAATTTAATATTCATTTTAAATAAAAAGAAAGTATTAATTGCACCTATTATAGTTGCTTTTCAAAAAGGGGATCCAATTGCATTTACATATGGCGGTGACATCTATTCTGCTAGCAGATTTGTTAGATATATCAGTCAAATCATTTTGATTTTATCATGCCGTTTTTATTGTAACGGTGTGGAGAATTTAACTTCATAGTAACATATTTTTTTAAAAAAATAGTGATTTGGTACAGTCAAATTATTTTTGAATTGTAATAATATTTTTGAAAGATTAATTTTCCAACAACTTCTAAAATTGGATGGAATCGTACAAAAAAAATAAAAATGATAGAATAAAAAAGATATACACAAGATTAACTCTTTATTAACAATAAGAAGAAAAGAGGTTTTCATTAGATATTATTAGAATATCACTTGTGAGTTGTTCCACATCGTTTATACATAGAAAATAGACTCACTTTATAAGTCTAATGAACTACTCCTCATTCCACTAATTGGTTTTGGGATGGAACCCCACTTGGGCTTCATTTGGGTTTTCTCTGTTATGGTGCGCTTCATCTACGTGGGACAACACTCGTTTTCTCCCCGTTTCTTACATGGTATCAGAGTCGGTTCTATGTGGGACCGTGCGATTACGTACCCGCTTTTCCCCACGTACCCGTTTATGGGAGCCTGTTTTTAGTAGGGCTTGGGGCACCCAACTCTGTATATGGGCTTAGGCTTCTTATTAAGAACTCACAAGTGAGGAGACGTGCATGTTTCTAGTAGGGCTTGGGCACCCAACTCTGTATATGGACTTGTGCTTCTTATTAAGAACTCACAAGTGAAGAAGCGTATTAGATATCACTTGTGAGTTGTCCCACATCGTTTATACATGGAAAATAGACCACCTTATAAGTCTAATGAGCTACTCCTCCTTGTACCCATTGGTATTGGGATGGAACCTACTTGGGCTTTATCTGGGCTTTTTGGGATGTAACCCCACTTGGGATTCATCTGGGCTTTCCCTGTTTATGATGCGCTTCACGTGCGTGGGACCGCATCCGTTTTCCTCCGTTTTTTATAAAAACAAAAATAAAAGAATATGTCATAGTCATAATATAAAACTGCAATATTACGTGCGTGAGACCGCATCCATTTTCTCTCGTTTTTTACAAAAACAAAAATAAAAGAATATGTCATAGTCATAATATAAAACTGCAATATTACATGTCATAGTGCTGTTTTTATATCTACACTACAAACCTTCTCTCGTAAAATTATTACACTATATTTTTTTATATTCTTTTACATATTCCATTAAGGATCTATGATAATGTAAGTGTTTTCAGTCATTTTGCCTTTACAAAATAGTTTAGAAAAATTATTTCTAAATTAGATGACTTTACATTGTTCAAAAATAATATATAGAATATTTTAGAAATATTTTTATAAGGAAAATAACAATAACATTTTATACAAACAGAAAACACTAACTAAATTGTATTTAGTTAATAGGAATTACGAAATATTTTATATTTTTTTTAAGAAAGTAAAAGATGGTGTCAAGTGAGAGGCATTGTGGGCCAATACGAGGTTTTGGGAGGTTTGATTTTCCCTATTGGATATAAAATTTTCTTTGTTTTGTTTGAAATTTTTTGTTTGATTTAGTTAATTTTGAAAAAGATGGTACAGTTAGGTGTCAGTGGATATATTATAATAATATTTAAAATAAAATAATTAAAGTTGATTTGATGTAAATTAAGAGAGATAATGTGAAGTGGTGATTAGTTAAAATTATATGAGTGGATGAATAGTGAACTAAATTTGATGTGGTGTATAAGAATAATTGACTGATATTATTTAATTATATTGATAATACTAATGATAGTGAAATTAAAATTGAGTTAAAAGCATAGATTAAGTTAAACATATTTTGATTTTTTTGAGATTTTTTGTATCAAGCATCATTAACCATGAACCTTAGAAGTTTGTAATTTTGAACCTCCTAAAACATCTCCACTATAAAGATGTCCTCAGTGATATCTTAAATTACCTGATCTGTCATTGTCTTTCACCCTCTTTCTTTGGCCTTCTCTTTAGGCAATGATTCTATAGCTCTTTTCTCATCTCCCACTTCATTTATCTACTTTTTGCCCTACCACACAGAGGAAAATAAAAAAGTAAATTATTAGGCTCCAAAAATGAATTTGCCCTTTTTCTTCCCTTTTTAAAATCTCATATATATATATATATATATAATAAATATATTTTGTTCACCCGTTAAAATCATTCTGCATAAATGCATATCTTTTCTTTTAATATGTTTGTGTAAACTGTCACTGTATCTGCTGAGTAGGTACATAAAGTTTTGTGTTTCTAATCCAAATCAAAGGATATATTATTATATATATTTGTAAGTATTATATATATTTTTTTCTCTCCATCTCGCATACATAACACATTCATATAGAGTTCTACCAACTTTGTGTCAATTTTGTGTTTCAGAATATTATATGTCAATTTGTTGTGCTTCTTACTCATATATGTTAATTTTTGTATGCTATGTCCATGGATTTTGTCACGCATATTAATACATTTTAAATTATAAAATATTTGGTCGATTTAACTACACCAATACAAAAATATCTACAAACATATTGTTTAAATTTAATTATTATCACCAAATATAATTTGGGGGAAATATTTTGTCTATATATAGCCAAATAATGGGGCATACAACATTCTAAACAAAAAGTTTGAAGAGAGCATAGTGAATATATAGATGCAACACACAGGCAAAGGCTTTGATTGTGTAAACAAGGAACCCTTTTTTCCCAAGTGGTCCTCCCTTCAACACACATCAACCTCAACTTTTATTTCTTTATTTTCATTTCTTAAAAAACCCACAACCTTTCTTTTCTTTCTCTCTCTATCTTTTTATTTTTCTTTGTTTTTGCACAAGTCCCCTTTTTCTTGATTTGGACCTTTGTTCTTATAGCTTATACAATCAAACCTCAAGTATATAAGGGATTATCATATACTAATTAATATCAGAATATGGAGGACCAAGGGTTGGGCATGTTGGGCTCCGGCCGAAGTACCGGCGGCGGCGGAATGAACGACGCGGTGGCCATGGCGGTCTCCGGCGAGATGGGCCACCAGCGGAATAAGGCGGAGATCGCGGCCCATCCGCTTTGGGAGCAGCTGCTGTCGGCCCACGTGGCGTGCCTGCGTGTGGCCACGCCTATCGACCAGCTGCCGTTGATCGACTGCCAGCTGTCTCAATCTCACCACGTCCTCCGCTACTATGCTCAGGCGGCCTCTCACTACTCGCTTTCCCCACATGAAAGGCAAGAGCTTGACAACTTCTTGGTACGATTTTTTTTTTTTTTTTTATT